TCGTGTAGGTGAACTCCCTTTGTGTTTATGGGGAATTTCACTTTGGGAGATATTCTCAAAGTAGCTAACCAGAGCAAGCAGTCTCATTAATTTTCAGTGAGACTTTTTCTCCTAGGGACATTTTCTGTTATCTTTTGAGCGAAAGCTGAATTTTAACCTTGGTATTTTAGCCTGTAATCAAAAACTGTACAAACTTTGATCTGTTGCTTCCTATATACATGTGTGTGTATGCATAGAGATAGATAAATATACAATTTTTCTGTTTGCAAGATGCTTTAACTTTGATGTATCGGTGGAAAAGCTGCAGATTCAAGTAGTGTGGATATCGTAAAGCATATCCGAATAAACCACCCAAAACCCCAGCAACAACTCTTACTCAAGCTCTTACCTGCTTTTTCTGTCAGGCTTTAATTAATGAATTATTAATCATGGTTGAACTACATTTCAGATTGTGGGTTTGAGTCAGCTGTTGGTGGTATATATGTTACACATACACTTCCTAAGGCATCTACAACTTAAATGCAGATTAATCTGAGTTGTAATTCCTAGTGAGATCTATGACTCCTTGAAGACTTAAGGAGCATGATACACAGTGACGGTATTACAGAAACTTTAGATTCTTTAAGGATAAACCTGAAATTAGTCACATTATTGCAATCCCACAGATACTGCAAATTAGCTTGTCTAACAGTTATTTTGCAATTAACTTTTTACCCAAAGCAGGATTTTGAAGTTCCACTGGAAGAATAAGCCATTCTCAATACCGGAGTTGTTTGGAAATGAGTGGGTGTCACATTCTTAACATTTGACTAATCCTTCAGCTCCTCTCACTTAGCGGTACGCTGTCGTACCTACAGAGAGTCACCTCTCTTTCTAGTGTTTCTGGAGTTAGAAGAAATTGCCCTGTACGCAGGGAATGCTAAATGACAATTACACTCATTGTAATATGCCCTTTATAACATTTGCTTTCATAATAGGATATTAAACTGAAATAATCAGAGAAAGGGGGGAAGGGAAGTGGTCTCAATGAGTTCATGTAAGTTGGGAGCTTCCCAGGATGTTCTCAAGCTCTTGTTCTTCTCAGATTTTCACACCAATCCGTATGCTGTGAATGCTTGTAAGACCCTCTCTAACTCTTCTATCTTTGCATGGATTTCTAGACCCCTTCCTTTCCCTTTTTTCTGGGACAGGGTATCCTCTCTCTTCAGCGTAGATATCTTTCAGGGATGGTTGGGTAGCCTGAACCTCCATCCCGGCTTTTTGCGATTTTGCGGCTTTGATGACATTCCTATCAAAGGTGAGCAGGTAACTTCTAATCACAGGGGGAACACTGTTGCCAACTCTAATTGTTTTACGCTAAGTCTCACAGTATTTGATTTCTTGTTCTTATTGTCTACCTTTCAGCAGCATTGCTGTGATAAAAACCTAAAATTTAATTTAAAAAAAATGGTAAATTTCTGGCTTTTGTAATTCCAAAGAAAAGATAATAAGGGGCAAACACCTAAATGCTAAAGATCAGAATGGAACTGCCAAAAATGTGTTTTACTTAAATAAGAAATGAAAACTTGATTTATGATTTTGAATTCTTGGGGTTGGTAATAATGGAGAACCTTCAATGCACTGAGGGCGAGGGCTTGATGGCCTCTGCCTGTAAATGACTTTGGCTTTGGTACTCACCTCTGTTCCCTCTCCCTGTCTCGGGGGAGGAATGATTGTCAATGCACGTGTGTCTGATTGAGCATGCAAGGTAGGTGTGCTTGTGCATGAGCATCTGTCATTTTATTAGAAATGTTACCTTACCAAAAAAAAAAAAAAAGTTTGCATTCATCTTACTATAGAGCAGATTCGAGGCTTTTGGTCAGGATAAAACTATTTCTTCCCTTTACTTTGTCTGCAGCTTTTATCTGCTGTCAGTGGGGACCATTCCATCCAGAAAAAATTGTGATAAAGAGCTTTGAGATTCCTAAGAGCTTGTCCTAGGCGACTCTAGCCTGGGCAGGTAGCTTAGCAGCTGATCCGGCAGTTCTTTATGCTAACTAGTTACTTTCATATCTGCTGGCTGAAAATGAAAATGAAAGTGTCTGCCCATGGCCCTGGAGACAGGCCGTAATCATAGGCTGAACCATAAAAGATGAAACCCTGGAGGTAAATATCAAGAGACTAAAATTCTCTTTGAAGAAAATACTGGGCTTTTATCTATGGCTGATATTTGATAAGGGGTTGGCAAGAGGCCGAAGGAGTGAATATACTAAAAGGTCAAGAGTTGTCATTCTTGATACTCAATAATTGTTTTCATTTCTTGCAATCTGGTACCTGCAAAAGAAAAGTTGTTTTTAAATGTGATTTGGGGTCTGCACTGACTCTGCTTGTGCTTATCTCATTATCGTGTTACCTGAAGGCATGGGGGAAGTGGAGGAGACGTCTTATCAGTGGAGGTTTGAGGACACAGGGCTTCCCACAGATTTGATGTTCAAGTGGCTCACATGGCGTGTCATTTCGTACCGCCTTCTAAAACTGTGTGGGATGAGAAAGTTTGGTCAAAATGAAACAGAGATTATGGAGATAGGGCTTCTGAAAAAGTCATCATGTTAATAGATGGCATCAGCCCTCCTGAGCTCACGAGTAGGTTCGGAAGGCAAAACTTACTTCCTTATTCTTCATGGGAAACCTGACCTTGTTTGATGTCTACTTTGGATGAAAGTAGATAAGCATTATTCTCACTGCGGGTTGGTTATAGCTTAGTTCTCCTGAATTTCTTCCTTGTAACCAAGTCAGTCTCAGTAGAAATCACTATCATGAGTTGTTGTCTTTTTCTTTTCTTTCTTTTTTTTTTTTAAGTTGTTGTTCTGTAGCTGAGGGTTGTGTACTGGTTGTTCTCATATCTATTTGGCAGAAAAAATACTGATGACAGCTGTGCTGCTGTAGGGATGTATACTTACATGAACCTATGATATGATCCCGCATTTTTTGCAAAGGTGTTACAGCGCCAAATCGAGGTGCTCATCAAGGACAATAGTCCCCTTGAGATTTTAGCTGCTTAATTCTACATTCAGAGTGCTTTGCTGAAAATTTTAATATATCCCTGGTTCTGAATTCATCATGCATAAGGTATATAAGTGTGTGTGTTTGTGTAAGGTATTTCCAGCCTCAGCTCACTTTTTAAAAATTATGTTTGTGTATTTTTCCAAACAGATGCCAGAGGAGCAGGCATTCTGTGTATTTGTGAAAATAATGTATGACTATGGCTTGAGGGACCTCTACAGAAATAACTTTGAAGATCTCCATTGCAAATTTTTCCAGCTGGAGAAGTTAATGCAGGTGGGGCCAGGCTAACAAATTCTTCTGCTTTCATAAATGGAAATATTGGCATGAAGAAGAGATTATGCTTTGCTTCTGTAATCTACTGGACAATAAACCCTCTGTCCTTTTAGAGGTGGGGTAAAACCAAAGCAGGGAAGCTTAATATCGGGATTCAAACATCTTGAGTCAGATTTGTTTCTAATTTCTTTTGTCTCTCATATACCAATCTTGCTGCTAATCTCTGTATCCAAGCAGAGTAGGTATCTGGGTTTTTTTCCTCTCTCTGTTTGCTTACTCTCTCTCTCCCCTATTCCATGATGTTGCTCAGAAAGAATGTCGCTGTTCTATTAAGGCCAAAATATCTTTTGGACTGCCACCATCAGTGTCCTACTTTCTATGAATTATGTTGATGGTTGAGAGGTCAGACAAATCAGGACATCCTGATGCTTATGAAATACAAATTAAGTGTAGGTCATTTTGTAGATTTTACAGTTTTCAATACGTTGCTCTTTTTTCAGATGGGATTATTTCAGAGTCAGAGCAATTTAATGTAAATAAATGGCTGCAATTTTTAAACATTGTTGTTCTGACTAATAAGGAGTTACTAGCAGTCCATTAAGCTTTGACCTGCATTTCTATTAGCATAGTGAGTCAGTTACTGTAGATGACCGTATATACCTCTCTGAGATATATCAAAACCGAACAAAACAGACCACAGTTAATTTAATGATTTTTTTTCAGATGTCAAATTGTGCATATTTCCTACTTGAGTAGAATTGCATACTAATGAATTTGATACTTAATTTCAGCATGTAGTCTTCTCAATATTTACATATGTTAACCAAGATTTTTACTTCATTAACTGAATATCATCAGTGTGCAATAGGGTTATCAGTGCTTATTTTGTGTTGCTTATATACGCTCCTAGTTAGAGAAATTGTCTGCTGGAGTTGTGTGCTTTCTTGCTTTCAGGCTCTGCAAGGTGATCTCCTTGTTCTGGTATCCATTGGTTTTTATAGCAGAAGCATTTATAGCAAGACACCGCAAAAGAATAATTTAAAAATCTACACTATTCATGACCTAGATTTCACAACCGCTCTGCCTTTCTACTGGTGAAGATTTTCTAATTTCTGAGTATAATCTCAGTACATTATTTGATACTGTGATAGAATCCATCATGGATATTTTACTGAAAACTGTAACCATGGGCACTGAAATTTATGAAGAAACATATTTCCATTGCTCAAAAGAAGCCAGGATTTCATTTTGTCATGTTTTTCAGTGTTTAGCAACCTGGTATTTACTGGCAGTGTGGATGATGAACGTGGCTTAATGAGTAATACTGAAGCATTTATTTTTTCCTTTACTCTAGGAGCAGTTACCCGACCTGCATAGCCATTTCTCAGACCTCAATTTGGAAGCTCATATGTATGCATCCCAGTGGTTCCTCACTCTTTTTACTGCCAAGTTTCCGCTCTGCATGGTCTTCCACATCATTGACTTACTACTTTGTGAGGTAACAAAACCTTGAACTGGAAAGCCCTTCCTCCGCTCTGCGATTGTTTCTTCTTTTTCTGTTTCTTTTGTTGGAGTCAGTTCCTGTTTAGTTTCAAAATGCGAGTAACTAAATTATGTACAAACCATAGTTATATTGATGAGAAGACTTTCCTTGACGCACTGGTTCGGTTTTAAAGTTAGGATTGTGGATTGCCTCATTCTTTGCTAAAGGACCTAATTAGGAATATCTGATGCACACATCTGTTCTTCATTTAATTTGTTAAATAATTTATTCAAAGTTAGGAATTCTAATTTCTTGAAGATGCCTAGTAGTAAAAGCCTAGCAGGCTTTTAGAGGGAAAGCTCTCCAAATGGTCTGATTCAGAGTGCCCAAAGACAGTAAGGGTATTGCGTGTTGCTTTGATGGCCCGATATTAAACAAACAGTGAGAACTGCCAAACGGCACAGTTGAATGAAGCTTCTTCCTTTTGTTTTTTTTTTTACCTTACTATTCCAACTGAGGAATGCATTACTCCAGATACAAATGGTATGTTTCTGTATTGTAGCTCTATCTGCGCTTCCTTTAAAAAATCGGATAGAATAGGTTGATAGTCTGGAATGTTTATTTTAGCACAGTCCTAGTACTTCCTTTTGTCGCTGGGCAGTCATGGCAAGCATGGAATTAAACCTGGTTTTGAACCTGCCACTGATTTCCTCTGATTTAAATGGGTCACAAATAAGAAAAAAATATAAATAAGTAAAACAATTGAGAATTTGAAATGCAAAGAGCTTCATGAGTATGAAACGCTGTCAACTCTGGTTCATTCTGTTAATTTTTATTGTGAAGTATTTTACTTGTGAATTTTCAGGCTTGCTGCACATGCCTTGATAGTATTCATTATTAAACAAATATTGTCCACCACACATAACACGATATTTTTTTCTTTAAGAGTATTGCTTCTTCTGCATATTGGTGCTCAGTTATCAAAAAGAGGTAGGTTGATACGGCCAGGTATCCAAGTGAGTGGGAAAGGTAGTAATGGTGAAGTGATTCCACATTTCCATATAAATATCTGAGCTCTCTTTCTTTCGCAACGTCTTCGTTATTTTAAGTAGCAGATAGAGCAGAAAGGTTGCTAGTTTTTCTGCTCTCTAGCCTCCACTTTGGTTGTGCAGCAGATGAACACAATCCCTTGTTCACTCTTGAACTGTTAGTGAGTTAATTTTCAGAATGAGCTTCTGGTGTGGATTTGATAATTCTCTGTCAGTTCAGCTTATTACTTCCTTCGGAGCTTGATGTAGAGCTGACCATTTTAAGAGATCATTTGTCGAGAAGTACAGAACATCTTTTCATAGTGGTGATCATTGTGATAGCAGCATAGTTACATCCTGTCAGAAGCTCCCGTGCTTTTTATTTTATTAAGCTTGATGATAAAATATGCCGAAGAAGTCTTTTAGTCATGGTTAATATAGATTTAATATTTAGAATGAAAAAAGAAACAACTCTTAAAACATTTGCGTTCATCTCACGTCTGGCAGTGTTTATCTCAACATGTCTGATGGAATTACTCTGAGAAAGAAGGTGAAAGACTGCAAGGAGAAAGAGAGAGTGCAACGCTTGGGTCTGCTAGAGAAAGGGAGACTTGTTAGTTAGCATTTGTGGAGGGTAATCACATAAAGCTAAAGGAACCTCTTTTGCAACAGCCAAAAATAATCCAGAAATGGTAAGAAAATTGATTGCAAGTGAGAAGATACATACAGACATCTTGAGAAACAGTGGGGCAGTGTGTAGACAACATACTGAGGCAATGGTGTAGACTATCAGAAAACTGCTCCTAAGATTCATGAGTCAACCAGTCTGATGTGACAGGCACTTCTGTGAATTTGTGGGAGGAGCGTAGATTAAAAATATATTAAAATAAAAATCTAGTTGGCCCTCATCACAGAAGGAAATTAAAATCTGGAGGCGTATGGCCATAGACAAAGAAGGAAACCATTGCTTAATGGAGGACCGAAATCATATGGTGAAGCGCTCTGTCCACTCAGCCTCCAGAAGGAGTAACGGAGCAGTCAAAAAATCATTTTTGGCTGCATTAAATTGCTCTTTACTTTATCTCTGAACAAACAGCATGCCTGTAATTCCAGCAACTGGAAGGAGAAAAAACAGTTGCAGCTGTTAACAGTGGAACAGATTCTTCTGCAAAAGAAAAAATTCTGAAAAATCAAGAAGCCTTTGAAGTGAACTGTCTTGTGTTTTTAAAAAACAAGCTTTCAGCCTTCTCATTAATTTGTCATAGATACAGATGAATTTTAAATAGCTACAACTTCCTTCCTTTCTTTCCACATCCCTGTCCTGTCTGTCGTTGACAAAATGTTTACATCCTATGCAAGTCTTTTAGGAAAGAAAAATATTAGGGGGTAAAAACCATTGCTGAATGGGTGCTGCCAACTAGTCATTCCACGGGAGCTCTGGTCCCCATGAAAATAATTGAATTATGGATGAACAATTTGTGTCAACCAAGAGTTCTTGGATGGGATTTGTCTTTTTAGGTCTGGACTGTGGCTGGAAGAGTGAAATTGGTCCTTTTATAGCTCTTCTTTAATTCTCAATCCAGAGAGGGAAAAATACCTGTTGGAAATGCTGTAGTTTCGCAGCTAGCCAGGGATGCCCCTTTCCTTCCCTTGCGTGCACGGTGCAGCAGTAGCACTCCGGTATGGCAGGAGCATACCCAGGGATGTGGAAGCCTATGAAAAATTAGTTAAATTTACGGTGGGAATTAAGTTTTATTGAGAAATTTTAAAAATCCTATCAAAGCGTGCGCCATTACAGCTGAGGTCTTGTCATCATTCTCACATTAAATACGACTTGATAGAAAAACCAATTTTATTTACATTTATATGATTTTGGGACTTGGTGTGACTTCTGAGTGATTGAGTTCTTTTATCCTGTTGTCTTCCTCTGACCTTTTTTTATTTTTAAGCTGTCTTCAGGCTGTTGAGGATGTGATTCAACGCCCAAATTACCCACATTTCCAGTGGCCTTAGAATATTGCCTCAATAACTGTAGGAGAGAATCTGACACCCATCCTCACCTAGAAGGGAAATGTTTTTGAATTCTTTGCATTTCCTATGACAGAAGCTTGAAGAAAATTTTGGGCTTGCAGGCAGGTACTCCACAATGCCGTGGTACATATTATGAGTCTTAATACTTCGACTGCCTGTAATAAAAACAGAAACCTCACAAGTTTTCATGTGATTACAGCAAACTGCGTGTTTTTGAGCCTGGCTACGTAGATAAATTTTAACATGTCAACATCAGCTGAAAATCTTTCTACAACATTCCTTTTAGCTGCCTGTTTCATCTGCTTCATTTGTCTCCTCTCCTGTTGCTATTTCCGTTTGCATTGAAGAACAACTTTGTTGATGAAATTCAGAGCCGTATTTGGACTTGTCAGTCTTATCTATCAATATGACATTATGTTATTGAACGCTTTGTGAGCCTGCTCTGTTTTGCTGTCTCTTTTTGTTCCATTTTGAATTATTTATTTAAAGTCATGCTCAGAAATAACGACTCACCTAGGTACAGCGCATGCCGCTTAGAGCTGTCCCCAGTGCAACAGCTGCGCACTTGCATTATGCTATAGAATATCAAAGACTTGACATTGAACTTCATTAGGCATTTTAAAATTTACCGTTTATGATAAAAATGTGTTTTTAAAAGCACTAAATAAGTGCATTTAGAAGAGGTACTAAATAATAAGCACTAAATTAGGCATTTAGAAGAGGGGAAAAAAAACCCAAACCAGTTGGCAGACAATTTATAAGCATTTTTTAAATTTCCATGGGGGTTTTTTCTGCTTCAAAAAGAAAAAACTTGAACCAGTTGTGATATATACAGTACTGCCAAAACTAAAGGAGGTTCGGAGCTCAAGCCGTCATGCCATTGTTAACTAGAATTTTGAGACACTATCCGTAACCTCCATTTTAAGTCAATCCGGCTATTTTTGTGTGCAGTTCTTGGGGATATAAAATACTTAAGGATTGAGCTTCTCTCCTTTTAAGGAGTATATAAAAAACCCTACTACATGCTGCCTTTTCTGTGCTGGTACAGATATTTGTCTATTTTAGCGTCAGTAATTACATAGTCTTGTTATAAAAATTAATAGTTTGACTACTAAGCTGCCGTTCTGTGATCGAGGCTGAATAGAAGGGGATGCAACTGGTTATCTATCAATTTTCAATATGAAATAATTTAATGTTTTCTAATATAGCTAATAACAGAGATGTGAAACTACCTTTCACAGGTCCACACAGCAGCGCAGCGGAAGAAGTGGGGATTGAAAGCTAGATACCGTCATTCCTTTGCCTTTATTTATCAACTATTGCATTCAGAACTTTATATAAAATAACTTGTGTAATCAGTTTTGAGAAACTCTCTGTGGTAATGAAGACTGATGGGTGTTTTTCAACACTTTTTAGAATGTGACTGACTTGGTGCTGGTAAATGAGTACCTGGTGATAGTAAAAACGTGGCACCAAGTTGTGTAGATGTGTTTCCTCGGAGCGCTGCTTCGTAATGAAATAATGGAAATCTTAGGAGAATTATAACTATTGGCACTGAAGATTTGATTTCTGTCTTATGCGTGTCTTGCTGAAGAATGGATGTGCCAGGAAACACTACGCCGTATGGTATCGCTCAGACGATAAGGCCAGTCGTCTCTGCGTGTTAGTACTAACGGAGTAGTAGATACCATAATAGCCTGCTATTTTTTATCTGTCACTGTCAGATGCTTCTGTGATGCCTTCAACAGAGTTGAGAAAGAACAGATTAACATTTTAATTTATTAAACTTCCTCAGGAATTGAGTCAGGAACAAGCCCACTTCCTCTGTAAATCTGCGCTCAGATGAAATGCGAATTATCTAAAATATTGTGTACAGTTGTTTATCTTCTGTAGATCTATAGAGGAAGAAAAATGGAACTTTTTGGAATGACCTGTTGTTGACTCATTGCCTGCATTTGTTAACCCCTCCAGTTATGAACGTTTTAATTAATCTTA